ATATTGGTGCTTTTCGATTATGGTTGACTGTAATATTCCCCTTCTGGATTAATAGTTGCATATTTTACCTCTCCATTTGAGGATTTTTATTTGATTGATATACAATTCTTCTCATGGTTGGACGTTGTTGGTGCATTATCTATGCACATATTATTTTAATATTAATTTTAGATTTGTTTGGAATTCCATTAGTTTGAGTAGGGGTGTGTTTAACATTCAACTCAATGTAATTCATAATGAATGGGAAAACCAATGACTTTCTATATAAATTTAGAAAAAAAAATATTGTTTATTGTACCAACATGCGCAACACACCCAATGTATAATATTAAAAAATCCAATGGCTTTTTGTTGTCCCAAATGAAGATCAAGAGATGAAGAATTTATAGAATAGTGATAAAATGTAAATCACATTACCGGACAAGAGAAAATTGAATACATAACAACAAAAAACAGTTTCAGAATATATTTTGCAAAATATTAGAATTTATGAATTTTATTAGCTGTCATTATTAGCAACATCAATGATCTTCATAATAAGATTCTGGAATTTTATGAGAATAAGATTTCTATGATGCTCAAATCAAAACATATGATTTCCAAAAAGGCTTTATGAAGATCAGAAAATCCAATAACAACAATCACATAGTCAACCTAATTAAAAGCAACTCATCTTCCTCTTTGACATAGAAAATTACTAGGAATGAAACTAAGTTATGTTTTTTAAGTAAATAACAATTCTACATAACTAGAAAAAACACTTAGCAAAATGTATAGAATTTTAAATGGGTGGATCAGATTGATATAGGGTGTGGTCCACATGACATCAAGTTAAATCTATACCAAACATTCAAATTCTAGGAACTTTTCTACATATAAATCATTTATGTTAAGCAAGAATTATAACTAAAGCCATAGTTGCTATCATTTATAATTACTCACTTTATGATATATAACTTCATGTAACTATGACATATGGACTGATGTTGGCTCAAATCATTAGGAAAATACACTCCACATTTTTATTTTATTTTAAATTTTTTTGGAAAATAATAAACTAACACAAAAGAAGAAGAAAATTATGTGCATGTGCTTTGCTTTCTATGACGCTCAAACCATCATATTTCCTTAATGTTATGTTTGGATCATGGATTTAGCTAGTGATTTGGAAATACAAGTATAAACCTATTTACAAGGCGTGTCGAATGTAATTATAGTTCATTGACATTTCACTCGCATTTTCCCATTTCCTTTTCAAATCTCTACTCATATCTATGATCCAAATACAACGTAAAAGTTCTATCAATCGTAGCAAAAAATCCAATAACAATAATCCAAATCCAGTAGTCCAGTAGTCCAATAGTTCAATAGACTAGATACAAAGTTTTCAAAAAAATAATCCAATAGTCCATCTATTTAGAAGCTACTCAGCTTCACCTTTGGCATAGGAAACTACTAGGAAATTAACCAAGTTATGATCTATCAAATAATCCAATAGTTCATCCAATCAAATAATTTTTTTTATATATTTTTATTTAATTTTTTGTTGAAGGGGTCAAACGGTTGGTTGTGGTACATTTGTTTAAGTGTTTATTTATTGATACTTTGAACAAAGGTAGTAGACTTTCATCTCTGTTATTGCTTATGCAGTTTGTTAATGTCAAAAGATGTGTAAAATAATACTTTTCGTACATAGATTCTTTCTTTTCTCCCCATAATCATTAATTTCCTTAAGTATTGTCTTCTTTACTAACTTTGTTTCGATGTTTTGTTTTTGTTTGTCATAGGTCCTCAATTTCTCCCTCTTAACGTAGAAGTAAAGCTATACCTCCTCCATCCCTTCCTCCCTAATGGTTGCATTAGCAAGTGTGCTTTTTAATTTATTTGCTTTTAATTAATAGCAGGGCATTGGCGGGTGTGCTTTTTTTTTTTATTTGTTTATTTTAATTGATAGTAGGATACTTGTCGGTGTACTGCCTTTTTTTTTAAGAAAAAAAATTAATTAATTAATAGCAGGGCATTGACGGGTGTCCTCTTTTATTTATTTGTTTCATTTTAATTGATAGTAGGGTACTTGCATCTGTGTTTTTGAATTTATTCGATTTGAATTGATAGCAGGGCACTGGCGAGTGTGTTTTTTTTATTTATGTGTTTATTTTAATTGATAGTAGGATATTTGATAGCAAGGAAGTTGAGTATTACATTATCGAGTTTGTAATAATTCAAAAGTTAATACATAGCATATCATGTCATTGTGGATCCAATTATGAGACTTAAATTATATCTCAAGGCTTTTTCTAATTCTGATATACAAAAATTATGAATAATCTTATTGCTTCAATCAATTTTTGTCAAGTTAGAGTAGAACCTATAATTTTTTTAGGAGCACCCAATAATTTCCCCCAATACGGTCCTGACTATCTGAAATTCTGTTTAAAAAGATTGAAACTGGATAGACATCAAAAAAATATTTTCAAAAAATAAATTTAAAAATTAAGCCAAATAGTGCTAATTTGAGTAAAATAGTGTTTGGGTTTAAGTATTTCGTATCAAATGAACTTTTTACGAATTTAGTCATGACCGAAATATTTTCAAAAAATAAATTTAAAAATTACGCCAAACAGTGCTAATTTGAGTAAAATAGTATTAGTGTTTAAGTATTTCATATCAAATGAACATTTTATGAATTTAGTCACGATTGAAGATGGTCTTATTTATGATTGTTTTGGGAAATGGGTAAAAATTGCTTTTTGACTTTTAATCTATTTTAGATCGTATAACCTCTCTATTTTATTATACTTTTTAAAAAAAAAATTAAAAAAAGAGAAAAAATCAACTTTTAACATAATTCCCAAAATAACACCAATTCTCATTAGAGTAGCATGGCAAATCAGTTCATGCAAAGAAAGTGTACCACTCATTTTATTTTATTTTATTATTGATAAAAAAAAAGTGTACCACTTATGCATTCCATAAAACTTGAGTAAGGAAAAAAGCACCGAATAATCCAATATATATTAATTAGTACACTAATTAATGTATTAATAGATAATATGACATAATTTTAGAGATTTTGATTTTTTATAATTTGTATAATGAGTGGAGTCATAATTTTAAAGTAATAATATCATAATATATATTGACACAATAATTGACATATCAATTGGTACATGTAACATCACTTATTACAAAATTTAGTAGCAACATGAAACAAGAGGGGAAGTATTAAATTTTACAAGTATAAACCTATTTACCAAGCCAAACTCTTTGCCAAAGGAAGAAGAAGAAAAAAAGTCCTTTCCAATTCTTGTATTACTTGATAGTGCAAATCTCTACCAACACCACAGACCCAATCATGAACAAGAAATATCAAAAGTCCTTTCCAATTCTTTTATTACTGGATGATGCCATCACCAATGATCCAATTAGGGCTGTGCATAAAATTGCCAAAATCACACCGAGTCGCATTGAACTGTGCATTTTTTTGCTTTTGATAGGCGGGTTGCGCAAGTGGAGGGTTCAAGGAGAGCAGGTCGGTGTGGGTGGTAGTTTATAAAAGCCAACCCGCCCACCAATTCAACAGACCTGACCCACCATTGACTTCATTTTTCCTTCCAAATAATATATATATATATATATATATAGGTTTAATTGCAACCATTGGACTAAATCTATCTAAGACCATCTCCAACGGTTCACTAAACTTGATATCAAATTTGAATTTTGGTGAAAAAGTCACTGTTTGGTGCTTCAACGGTTGCACCAAATTGGTATCAAATTAAGAATTCACTAAAAAATTCATCAAAGTGAGAATAAGCTGCAAGATTTTACCAAATTACTGTTCCTGACCGTTGGAAGAGCTGAACCGGTCAACTTGCTGGTTGCCCGGTCGATTGACCAACCGGTCGACTACTAAAAAGTTCAAACAGTTCAAATGGGTTGGTTCAAACAATTTAAAATATATATATATATATATATATGTCTTACCGATGAACCAGCCGGTCGACCAACCGGTCAACCACTAAAAGGTTCAAACAGTTCAAATAGGTAGGTTCAAACAATTCAAAAAAAAAATATTTTTTTTTTGCCTTACCAGTCGACCAGCCGGTCGACCGGCCGATCGACCAACCGGTTGTCCCTAGAGCAGATTTGATGAAAATCAACCATTGGAGCATTCTGTATCAGATTGAGAAAATGATCATTTTTTTACTCACATTTGGTGAAAAATTATAGGGGTGAGCATGGTCCGGATTGGACCGGATTGGAGTAAAACCAGAACCAATTCGTTATCTACGGATCCTGAAAAATTGGAACCAATCCAATCCGTTTAAATCGTGGAACCAATCCGAACCAATCCATTTAAATACGGATTGGATCGGTTTAGGACCACGGATTTATATAATTAAATAACAAAAATATATATATAACACTTTATTTCCATAAAAATATAAATATAGCACCATATTAGTTTCACAATGGCAATATGTCTTTTCATAATAGCGACAAACTGTTCTAAAATTTAAACAACCATAAAGAAACTAGTTCCATTCCATAATAGCAACATGTTTTTCTATAATAACGACATACTGTTCTAGAATTTAAACAACCATAAGAAAACTGGTTTCACCATAAGTATTTAGACCATTGCAAATTAAAACTTAAAACTAACAAACAAAAGTAATAAAAGAAGATATTATACGGTTTTAGGTTTGAGTTTAGATTTTATATAGAATAAGAGAAGATACTATGGGGGAGGTTGTATAATAAAAATATAGACTATTTGTATACGGTCCGGATCGGTTCCAATCCGGAACTGTGGGATTCAATCCGGAACCAATCCGTGAACTACGGATTTTTAATTTTTCAATCCGGAACCGAACCACGGATTCAAAAAATCAATCCAAACCTACTGAATTGGACTGGACTGGATCGGATTACGGATTTCACGGATTCCTTGCTCAGCCCTAAAAAATTAGGTGAAAGTTGGAGATGCACTAAGTAAATGCATACACACACAATCAATTCTCAATTAAACCTAGCTCACACCCCAATCCATCCCTTTCATTCATCGACTGCTATTCGCCTCCCTTGTTGCTCCTCCTCCTTACCTTGCCGATCGGCACCACCGCGCCACCGCCGCTGCTCTTCGCTTGTTGCCGCTGCTCGTCGTTCGTCGCCGCTGCCTCTCTTCGCTGGTACATAGCTCTCGCTCTTTATCCTTTTTCGCTTTTTATCATTGAGACCTGTATCAATGTCTCTGGTTCCAGACATTTTTCTCTAAACCTTCTTGAATATGGTAGCTCAGATCTTGGGGAGAGAGAGAGAGAGAGAGAGAAGAGAAGAGTAGGGGTAGACAATTAAGTGCCCAAAAATTGACTTGACTGAGTCTTCCCCCAAATAATAAAAATATATATTAATCACCTTCCCCAACCTCCAATTATTGGGTCCTTGAATGGAATAGTTGGTGAATACTCTAGTTACTTATTTTTTGGAATTTTAATGCCTGTGCTTAATATTATTTTGTTGTATTGGTGTTTTTTTAATGGTTTTGATGATAGTTTTTTTTGTTATTTATTTATGTTCAATTGTTATTATATAATTTGTTTGTATTGGTGTGCACACCATCTAGTATTTATTATATATAAACTCATAATCTCCATTCATTATATTTTTGTAAGAAAAGAGAAATCCTAATACACCTGACTCACAACTCAAACCTTCTCTATGGATTCTTTGAGTTAGGTTACTTGGGCAATTTTATAAAAGAAATTACAGATAATTAAGTGATAAATTTGATACACATTAATAATTAAAGTTATAATTTTTTGATAGTATCACTGACTGGTAGTTTTTCCAATTTTTATGGGTGCAAGTCTCACATACACGAAGTTGTGGTTCTTCAATGGGGGAATTTTAAAAAAGTGGAAAGTGAATTTTTTTTTTTTCCAACTAAGAAAGGTACAAGATTTATTTGTATAATTGAATGCATAAATCACTTGTACTTTCATCATTTTGTAATTATTTTTTTATTTCTCCACTTTTTTGATATTCTCTCTTTTTCAAAAACCTTTTTTGAGAGTTAACTAAAAGGGAAATACTATGAGGGGTGCACACTATAAGCATTTATCACAAAAAGTGTAATTTTATTACAAAATTTTGTAAAATTAATAACAAAATGCGTAAGCTTGTCACAAATTGACGTAAAAAAAATGCCGTAACCAAATTACAAATTTTTACAACATTAATTACAAAATTTTGAACATTTTATTACGTTAATTTTTAGTGAGATTATGAATTTTATAATTGATATTATGAAATTTTATGATAAAGTTGTGTATTTTTGTGGTAGTACACCATTGGATTTTTCTAACTAAAAAAGTTAATTTATTAGTTAAAAATAAATTTATAAGAACTCTTAAAAAAACACTTGTTACCAAAAGAGTTTATGTCAAATTTTTTTTTTCTAAAAAAAATTTCTAATGAGTTTATAGTATAAATAAATTGGCTAATTTAGGATTTTTAAATTTTTTTCTTTTTTGGGGTGATAAATGGATTTAGCAAATAAATTAAGATTTTTTGGATTTTCTTTAGACAGTTTTTAAGTTTCTATCAAATGAAGCCAGACGTATGTTGATGTTTAGGCCTGTTTGGTGGGTTAGGTTTATAGTTTTAGGAAAAATTTTAAGACACAAAAAAGTTTCACAATTGGATCCACAATGATGTTATATTACATGTGTCAACTTTTGATTTGTTATACATTTAATAATATTGGACTCCACCCTTTCGTCACATTATTATTGGTGAATTTGTGAGTTAAAAGTGTACGTATGTAGCATTACTCTAATCTCATGAGTGTAAATTGGGGCAAATGAGCTTCTCTCCTATTTATAGGCTCCTTTGGAGCATTCTAGAACACAAAAGAAAGTGGTATGTAGAAGCTTCCCATGGAAGTCTTCTTACAAGTTACAAGAATATTTTAGAATGTCTTCTAGAAATATCTATACAAATATCTACAAGTCTAGATATACGTACAAGTGGATATGTACATGAAATACCTAGGGCCTTCTAGAATTCTCCATGGTCTCCTATGTGCTAGAGTTTGCTAGGGATGTGACATGGTGTATTTATATCGTTGTTACTTTCATAACCTTGATGTATTTGTAATTGTTATTTGATTAATTGATTTTCACACGCATATATGAAGTCATTTTATATGTTATATAGTTGAAGTGAAAGATTTGTAGGTGCTTGAATTGAAAGATTTTCACGAATCATTATAAAAAATCGGCGACCCCAGTTGTACTGTATCCTACTTCTTTAAAGTTCTGTCCTACCGGCATACCCATAACATTTTTTTTTTTTAAAAAATTTCTCGCAGTTTGAGGAAATGGCTGCTGCTTGGGAAATTACAGCAACAGAATTCTTTCAAGTATGCTTTCTTTGTGATCTTTGTCGCTCTTATGTATTTTGTTTTTGGTACCCTGCATTAGGGGTGCTTGC